GTAGCCCTGGCAGCAGCTCTGCTCCTCTCAGCAGTGTCTAGGGAGCTACATCTTTAAAGTCGTGCATCTGAAGCATGGGGATCCCAGGCAGCCCCCAGAGGCCCAGGGTCCATCGTGTGGCATCCCGGTGCCAACAGGTGGCTGTGTGTGGTGTGCTGGAGCGGCCACCCCACTGGGAGCTACATGCCACTGAGACACTATCCCACCTCCTAATGTGACTCTGTGGCTCTGTCACTCACAGCTAAATTACAGTATTATGACTTCATTGTTGAGTCCCAATTCTCCTAATTATAGCCTAGAGATCTATTATTTGATTTGGTAACACCAAGTGCTTCTTTTCTAAATCATGTAATCTCTTGTAGCTTATTAATGTCAGGTTTGTGCACACGCGGGGACTTGGTTGTTTGCCAGGCAGAATCAAATTTTCAAATTTTCGCTGTGTTATGTTACAGGGCTTTGCTTGTTACAATCTAATTATATTGGCACTGAAATACCGAAAACCAATTTATATTAGAAAGCACTTTAACTCTTTCTTTGGAGTGGATTTACATGCATAAGAATCTACCACACCATTGGTCTTTTTGTTTTTCCACTGGAAATTCCTTCTTGAAAGAGGTAAAACTAATAGTCCCTTCTTATGAACAATTCTGCTGCTTGTGGAGAAAAAAATTGTGAATGTGGCCGCTCTTGAACTTGTTTGGAGCATGAGAAAGCTCACCCCTTCCATCTTGCTGCTTGGTTCTTGCTGTGAACGCCACTTGCTTCAGGCACCCAGAAGGCCCTCTCCTCCTTTGAACACCTTTAGAACCACTCAGAGTACCATCCCACCACGATTTCTAGATAGGTGTTCTCCAAAGCCTGATGAGCTCATGGAGCGGGGGCTTTGTGGAGGTGACTGGATCAGGGGGCATGATCGTTGCTGGATTAATCCCCTGGTGCCTTTGCTGTTAGGAGGTGGGATCTGGTAAAAGAGGTGGATAGTGGGGAGTGGTCTGGAAGGCTTTATCTCTTGCTGCTTCACTCTCTGCTTCCTCCTGCCATGCCTTGAACAAGCCTCCTCTGCCTTGCTCCTCTGAGATGCTGCCCTGCCTTGGAGCCCCGGACTATGGAATGAAATCTCTACACACTGTGAGCCAAAAATAAATCTTGCCTCCTTTAAATTGTCGATGTCCGGTGTCGTGTCTCAGCAACAGAAAGTTTGGAAAATACTTGCTCTTCCTCTCCAGATGTACTTTCCTAAGCTCGCTTTTATACTAGAGGTCAGTTGGCTGCATCATCCTGAAGGCCAGGAGGGCCTTGCTACTTGTAGAAGTGGCTCCAGTCGGGGGGACAACCCTCGGCACCGACACCGGCTTTCTCAGGAAAACCTTGTGTCTGTTACATCTGACCACCAGGGTGTTTGTCTCCCTCCTAATGATAAGGAACATTGCCAAACTTAGCCAGGGAACATTAATGAAACCATCCTGCCTGTCACCTTTGGAAAAAAGTGCTAACTCCCTCCTGCCTTTAAAGTATCTTCTGTCACTGAGCCCCTGCTGCCTCCTGAGATAGCGCCTTCTTCTCTACCTGAACCAAGTCTGTGAGCTGGAAGACTCAGATGGAGAGAACTCCCAGAAGGTGGCGTTTTGATGGAATGAAATGAGCAGTGGCTTTAAAATAAAAACAGATCTAGATGAGAAGCCTAGTGCCTCAGCTTCTGCTGTATACTTGTAATCTTTCCGAGCCTCACTTTCCCTGATCTCTAAAAGGGATACAGTTTATATCACATCATAGGAACAATGTGTTCAGAGCACTTTGCAGAGTTCTGATATACAGAAAGTGCTTCGTATATGTCTCTTTATCTCCTAAAAGAGCTCACCCTCCAGGCCTGTGTGGCTCTAGAGACCGGGCTCTTCCAGCTGAGGATGGTTACCCCTTCTACCGGAGAACTTTGGACCCTGACCAGCACTGCTCCTAAGGACCACAGCTGGAGCATGACTCACACTTCTGAGCTGTAAACTTCCAGTTGTTTAGCTGTAAATTGATCAGCCAGTGCCCAGGTTGAGAGATGGTTCAGAGCCACTTTGGAACGCATGCTCACAATGCCTGTTCTGTGGCTGATGTGGAGAGAGATTCACCCACTGACATTACATTTCCTGGACAGATTAACGCTGGCAATCACAACCCCAACTTGTCTCCAAGGCCTTTGTGTATTTCATCGGTTTAATTTTATTTTTTATTTTGCATATTTCCAACATTCTGAAGTGTTTTGCAAACACTCTAACTAGCGCTGCATTCTCTGCCAGCTTTATCAAACTTGACGTTGTGTCACACTTCTTCCCTATTGTTCTGGGTCATTTCTGCCCATGTGTACTACCTTTTAATCCATTTGTGGTCCCACTTTTCCCAAAGGGGACCATCCTCCTGTATCTGGGTTTTATCATTCCAATGCATGTTTAAAGACTTGTGTATATATGTCTATATCCAGAGACTATGCCTGGAGTATTTTGCTCAGACTATAAAGGCATCCTACACAGAAGGTAGGATTACAGACCTTACCATTTTATGTATCTTAGCCTCAGTGTCCTCATCATGGAGATGATAGTACTTTTCCCACCAACTTGCTCTGTACAGAGTATGGGGCCCATTGCTTGGCACATGGTGGGTTCTCAATACATTTTTGTCAAATGGATGTTTCATTTGAAAGTTGTTGATAAGCTCCCCTTTGATTTTTTTTTTAATTTTGTGTGTGTGTTATTAAAAAATTTCAAATGTGAATTAAAATAGATGAGCACAGTAGATCTGCATGAACCTATCATGGCGATAACCATTACTGTTTTCCAAACACTCCACAATTTCTTTAAATTCCAGATAACTTTCAGCATGGGCTCCCCTCTCAGCAAACACTTGGTTTCTGTACTATGTCAGGTCAGTGGACACAGCACAGGCACGGGTCCATTGCTGGAAGAAATGCACATTTTATAGTCCTGCAGTCAATCTCTCCCCTGTACAGATGGGAGTGTTTTGCTATGAAGCTTTGAACAACGAGTAATTCAACCACATTTGCCTCATTCAAGAAATAACCCAAGTCCTATCATCAGGAAAACAGCTCAGTGTTTTGACTTTGGCCCCATGCCCTTAAATAACCTATGATGAGGACTTCTCCTACTTAGTTAAGTATCTCTAAGAAATCTATGTCCACAACCTTCCCAAGAGCCCAGCCCACCTTCTCCATACTGCTGCATCTCTGCCCGAACTGCTCCCTTTGCCTGCAATACTCTCATGACTCCATAGTACTTCTGTGTGGAGAGCTTTAACTCATACCTCACAACCTGATAGAAAAGTCACCTACTCAGAGATATTCAGGCCTATCTGGTCAGAGTCATACTTTGTCCTCGTGAGCCTCATAGTGAATTGTTTATCCTTTTTATATCTAGGATAATCACATGTCCCAGTTTGCTCCTGACTGCCCTGGTTTATGCCTCTTGTCCTAGCATGATCAACAGCATTCTTTCGCTCTCAAAAGTGTCTGACTTTGACAATAGGTTGTAGGATAGAGGTACTCTATGTGACCCCAATGAGTCAGGCCCCTTTCTCTTGCAGACAGGCAGAACCTATGATTTGCTGCTGGCCATTCGAATGTGGCGAGGGTGATGGAATCGTCGTGCTTTGACTGTGTTGCCTTGTGTAAGACTGTCTTGAGAAAGAGGTGGCCCTGCAGGCTCTGAGGAAGTATTGTTATGGTGTGAACTGTCGCAAAGGGGCTTTCAGAGCTGTGGGTAGACTGAAAGGACTGAAGGCCTCAGTCTTCCAGAAGGGAGGAACCAAACTCTTCCAGCGACGATGTGAGCATGAAGAGGACTCGGAGCCTAGAAAGGAACATAGACAGCCTCATGAGACTCTGAGAAGAGGACCTAACTGAGTCATACCTGTACTCCTGACCCATGGACACTGTGAGATCGTAAGCAGGTGTTCCTTCAAGCCACTAAATTTGTGATGATTTATTATGCATCAATAAGAACGAAGAAGATCACCATAGTGCTAACACTAACCAAGGGCTCAAATGGTCTTATCTCCCTGACAGCCTGGTTCTCCCTGACAGGCTTGGGCACATGGATTCGTCTCTCTCATTCCCCGCGCTCAAGCACTAACTGCGCTCCAGGGACCGCACCGGGCAATATGGCACAGTATTTAAAGGAGCAAAGTCTGGGGAAACCAAGTGCGTGTGTCTCAATCCCAGGGCCATCACTGTCAGGCTATATGACTTTAAAGCAATGATTTCGCCTCTCAAGGCCTCGGTTTCTCATTTGCTAAATGGAGTTACCCAAGAGTGTTTTCCTCTGTGAAGTGAGATTGTCAGGAGACTCAGAGGAGCTTACGTAGAAGAACTCACACCCACTGACATAGCATGCTGGGCATGTTTGCTGTTGCTGTTTTTATGTCCATTCGTCAATGAGGAAACTGGGGCTCAGAGGCAGTAAGTATCTTGCCCCAAATTACACAGCTAGTAAGAGGAAGAGAGACTCAAACCAAACCCATGCTTGCCTTTTCTCGTATTTGTGTCTTTCTTGTGGACGTACTTTTGGCAAAAATAAAGAGAACTTTCCTGTGGATTCTACAAGAACCAGAGATTCCAATACCCAGATTTGAACCCGGGTTCATGTTTTGCAGCCACCTTTTCAGGCTTCTGTGGGTTTCTGGGAGCATAGGGAGCTGGCAGACAATTTACACCATTTAGTGGGATATGGTGACCCATAAACAAGCACAGGGGCCCATTAAGCTGACATACCACCTGACAAATGATGAGGGACTTTTAAACAATTCCAGTCTACTAAAAACTGGATATTTACATAAGTGCAGATTATTGGGATCCACAGATAATTTGCTACCTGCTCATTTTTAATGTGTTTGTGAACACTCCTGAGGAACTCATTAATTCTAAGTGTCTGTAAGCTTATTGTGTTGTAAACCATGGCTGACAGCACAATAGACACCTCTAAAAGGAAGGGGCCCCTCTGCCAGCCCTGCTGGATGGAGCTGAAAAGGAGCAGGCATGCAAATCAGCCCAGGGATAATTGACAGGATGGCTGGGATGTACACAGGCCCTTATCTGAGTGAGTTTTATGTCCCTGTCCTTAGATAACCCTGTAGAAATACAAGCTGCGGTGATAAGGGTGACTCTAACCACATTTACCATGGTGATCAGACAGGGTCAGGCACCGAAGCCGAGTAATCGGGAAATGCGTGAAGGCCATGGCCGGACAAGGCCAAAATCCATTTGTTATTCTCTGCTCGGAATGTCCTTGCTCCTTCTCTAGGCTGCTGGATCCTGACTCCTCTTTCAAGACAGTCAGCTCCTTCTTGGAGCTGAGACCTCCCTGGGAGAAATGTTTCCTCCTTGGGCTCTGCCAGCCCCTTTCATATTTTCTTTGAGAGCTCTGATTATGAGGGTGTCCGAAATGCCTCCCCTTATCTCCCTGCCTAAGTGAGTGCGAGCCACGGGAGCTCTTTAGGATGCTCTCCAGAGCAATCCGTCTTTATAGGTGTATGGCACAAAGGAAAGCGTCAAGGAGGGGCACAGACTGAGCACGTAGGCAAGGGGCCATCAGCTACCTCTGCCACCAACATCCAGTTTGTTTCTTCCCCGTTCTGGGCTCCCTTTTTGCCCCATAAGCCACAGAACCAAAGCCTGGCCTGGCCAATCTCTACCCGGAGGAAGTGTTTCAAACATTCATTTATTTTATTTAAATGAAGACGAATTTCTAGGGTAAATTGCCTCAGTAACTAAGAGAATATAGTTGTTTTGTCTTATGTGTACTAATTCCTCCTTATCATGGGGATACATTCAAGACCCTCAAGGGAGCCTGAACCCACAGAGAGTACTAAATTGTATATATGCAAGTTGAGCCTCCTCTACCCCAAAACCCCAAATCTGAAATGCTCTGGAATTCAATTTTTCAAGGACCAACGTGACACTCAAAGTTTCAGATCTTTTTAAACGTCTATCTGAAAAAACTTTAAAGTCTGAAATGTTTCCGTTACCAAGCATTTCGAACAGGGACATTCAATTGTGGTCCTGATTTATCCATCTGCCACAAATGCATGTGTTCTGGCTGTGAAAGCCTGTGGAAGATGCTACTGCACATTCTTCTAGGCCACACCTTTGACAGGTGATGGATTTCTCTTTCTAAATGAAGTCCCCGGGCAATGGGCCATTTGAAGACATGAGTATTTGGCAAAACATCTGCAGGGATTGGTGAGCAGGGATTGTACATCTGCTGCAGGAGTTCCCTGCTATGATCTGCTCGAGTCTGGAGTCCTTGCAGTATGGCTGGTGGTGACTTTTGATAGATTGTCCTCAAGTGAGACTAATCACTTAAAACTCTTCATCTGCCTTTTAGCTGTTTTCAAAGTAGCTGGAGGAAGTTCATAAAGAACAGGTGGGTGTGAGGGTACACACCTGTACTCCCAAACCTCTGGGAGGCTGAGGCAGAAGATTCCAAGTTTGAGGTCAGCCTGGGCAATTTAGCAAACTGGCATGACCCTGTCTCCAAATAAAAGAATAATAATAGGGGCAGGAAATGTAGCTCAATGCAAAGGTCCGAGGCTCACCACCCCCAACAAGTAACAAAAATAGATAAATAAAACTAAAGAGAAATAATTGCTTTTTGTTTTATGCTTAAGAATGCTTTCAAATGAATGTCACCAAAGATCCATCTGAAATAACTTCAAAATATTCTTTACTCTCACATAACAAGATGTTAGGAGACGAGGCTTTGGATCAACTTCTCTCCAGTTTCTCGACTTGATCCTCTTGGTCACAAAGCAGCTGATACAGTGCCATACATCGCAACCTCACAGAACAACATCTGGCAGTAAGGATCTGATCTTTCCTTTGGAATTCGCATTTTCCACCGGAAGGTTTCTTTGCACTCTCTTTCCAGCACAATGTTCCTTAAGTCTTGTTTCTAGACCAGTCGCTACCTCATGGGAATGAGATGATATGATTGGTTTAGATTCGGTGTGATTTGTATTGTGAGACCGGGTACATTATTCCAAATTTTGTCTAGGCTGATGGATAGATGTGGGGTTCTGCTAGATCTACCCAATCTATGTCCTGCTACAAAAAAAAGCAGAAATCACTTTGAGGTAAGCAGTCAGTTGCATTTCCTGTATTTCTCAAGGGGTTTCTAGCTTCTTCGTTGTACTAAATTAGATGGAGAGAAAACAGTGTTCCTGGATAATATCACTTTTGTCCACCCACAGAGGAGCTTTTATGAAACAGTGCTTTAGTGTGATAATCTCACTTTCCCCTGAAGCATTGCTGTTTACTTCTACAATAACCACTACAATTATTGAGTGCTCACTCTGCGTCCAGCATTATATTAAGTGATTCATGTGTATCAGGTGCTTGGAGCCAGAAAATAAGCAAGACGGGCAGGTACTGTGAGACCCTCATTTTGCAGATAAAGAGACTGAATCTTAATGTGATTAAATGCCTCTGCCCAGGTTCATGCAGCTAGAATTTAGTAGCAGCTAGATTGGAACTGCAGAGCATTTGATTCTAAGTCCCGAACCAGTATCATATTTTGTTTCCTAAATTACCAAGTGTCCTTTATATAGATATCCCTATGACCAATTTCCAATACATATCAAAACTTAGATCAATACTAGACCTGCTACCGGAAGATTTTGGAACAGTGTTTCAAATATGATTTTTGGTTTCTAGGAGGCCTGAATATTTTAAAAAATTCATTTGCTGTCATTTCATTCAGCCAAAGATTCTTGATCAATGTTTTCTTTCTCTCCATTATCCTGCCTTTTTTTATTTAGTATTTAACTTTTGTTATTTGCAGACCTTTTGATCCTAATCAATCCATGCTTTGGTCAGAAGTCATTTTAGAGGAAGAAGTGAGTATACAGAAATCCAGTGGTCACATGATATGCATGCCAAAGGTTAAGAAATGAAAACTACTGGACTTATTTTGAAATGCATCAAAATATTGAAATTTTCATCATAAGACGTTAAGAAATATGTCGGTAATACCCTGCCTCATTTTTATAAGTCTCACAAGGGATTCATTCTTCCTAAGTAGCAACGTGTAGACTTTTTTTGCGTTAATGCCAGGTTCTCCCCTCCAAACCACTTAGCCCACATGTGTGAGCACTTGGGTTTGCACTTACACACATAATCTTCTTTACTCTTCTTTAGAGGCCCGGAATTCTGTACAAGTTTATAGTTTACATCCCCAAATGGAAAGATCTCTGGGTAGCCAAGAAAAGATGTCTTTGTGGGTTGAGCAAGTATTTCCTTCCTTCCTTTTTTTCTTTCTTTTCTCCCTCTGTTCCTCTCTCCATCTTTTTTCCTTTTCATTCCTTCCTTCTTTATCTCTCTCCTACCATGTGCCAGGACTGCATTAGTCACCAAGGGGCCACAAAAATGAATCAGATATGGAAACGCTAGTTACCTAGATAAGATCAATATATAAGCAAATACAGATGGAGCAATCTGCAGACTGCATAAAGAAGAGGGTCTATGATGATTTCTCAAAGGAAGGGGTGTTGGACTTGGAAAGAGTGTGAAGATCATCGGGCAGACTGGGAAGAAATAAGGTTTTAGGGAAAGACAACACGATGTACCAGCTGGTAAAGGCACCATTCTTTACCAATAGTCCGGACTGTCTGGAGGGGCAGGTGTGATGAGAGAAAAAGGCCAAGATGTAAGCAGAGGCTGGCTGGTGAACAAGCTTTTCTAGTAAGTAGAGAAACAGGGATTTAATGCTCAGGTACTTGAGGGACACTGGAGGACTTTAGTAGGGGACTAAAATGTCGGGTAGACCTGGTGATGTGAAGTGGGAGTGGATGGGGGTGAGGTGGAAGCAGAGAGCGGCCAGGCTGCGGGAACAGCACAGGGAGAGTGACATGGCGGCCACTGTGCGAAGGCAGCTGCAGAGCCAATGGGCGAAGATGAATTCCAGAAAAAGCCAAGAGAATAAGACGCGACACCTGACACCTGAAGATCTGCGGCGCCTGGGGACATTGGGAGACAGGTTTCTGGCTTGGGGCAGCAGGAGGATGATCCCATTTGACAAGATTGGAGTTATGGGCCGAGCCTTGCTGCTGAGCTGACATAACAAGGACATATGGGGACCCTCTGCACAGATTCACCCGAATTCCCAGGACATCCTCACTGCCTCTGCTGCCTACTGAAGCTCTAGATTTCTCCCCATGGATATTTTACCTTTTCCTACTTCCAGGCATAGTGAATCCATGCTCAGCCTTCCCTCATGGTATGGCCAAAGCCTGCTGGGAAAAGTGCTGCAAACGGCTTTTGAAATGCCTTCCATGCCATCTGGAGCACAGGTTGGAGGACAGCTTCTGACACAGACCCAGCTCTGATTCCTGCCTCCGTGACTTCACACCCACTGTGTCTGCTGCCTTTCGGCAACAAGCCCTGTGCTGCCTCACTTTATTATGAAATTAAAATTGTTTCCGAAGACCTCAAAGGAGGAAAGCGGAATTGTTTTCAGCTTTGATCGTGGTCATAATAAAACAGCTATTTAGAGGGCGATCGTGTTATTCTTAGATAAATGAAGACCAAAAATACTTTTTTACAGTTGCCATAAAGACAGCAATAGAATTTTTCCTAAGACAAACACAATCAGTGGTTCAGGGAAGGTGAGGGCATTTGTTCTTCCTTGGGCATCACCCATAGCAGGATGTTTGATCTCACCCAGCTGGGGAAGTGGCAGAACAGGCTGTTTTCCCAGCTATATTACTTCCCTCCAGAGAGCGGGACCATGGCATCTGGCTTCGGAGCAACTACCAAGCTAGGCAGTAGGTCCTCATCTCACTGACAGCCCCTCATGTTCCTTCTTTGTGCCTCATCCCCAACTTCCCTGGTGAAGTTGGTGCCTGGAGCTTGCCTAAGACTGAGTTGTCTTTTACTGAGAATCAGCCATTAACACGAGCAGAGCCCTGTCATTGGTCTGTTTCATTTGATCATCTATAACAATGCTATTCTTTTTTTTCCCAAATGGGAAAACCAAGTTGTACAGAGGTAAAGTGATTTGTCTTGGGTCTCACAGTTGGGGAGTTTTAGAAACTCTAAATTCTAAATCCAAATATGTCTAAAGTTCTTTCCTACCTCAAGTTTGCTCTTCTCCAAACTAGACCCCAGATTTTGTAGGGCACCACCACCATGTCCAGTGGAAACATTGCAAGATTAGTAACCTAGGCCTGAAGCTTGGGAAAGTTGTGCTGGGACTCTTTTCATCTTGATATTCTCACTGAGAAAAGGGAGAGAAATAAAAGTGCTTTAGAGGTTTGGATCCTAAGGAGCAGTTGTTATAACGTAGAAAACCAACTTGGGACCTTGCACTTGCAAGGCAGGTGGCAGCAACACTGAGCTAAATCCCCAATCCAATATATGGCATTTTAAAAAGGCAACTCACCTATGTCATGCAGCACAGGCAGTTGGAGGTACTTTGGACCCAATGGAGGTACCTTGGAACCAATGGCTTGTAGTTACGTGATAAATCCTACAGTATAGGCAGCCATTCACTTATCCCGTGAGCTGGGGGTCAGTATACCCTTTTCCTCCCCAGCCTGGGCTCTAGCCTTTGCCCAGAGGAACCAGCAGTGATAATTCTTTCTTCCATTCTGAAACAAAAGGAGCTTACTCAGTGCGCTACCAGAGCACTTCCAAAACTCAGAAGAGTATTCATTTTCCAAATGACTCAAATGGTTTTGAAGAAGGGTTGTATTTTTGACCTTCTAATTTTATGAGATAACATTTTTTTTTTTAACTTGGGACTTTATGCTTGTGAGGCAGGCAGCAGCCTCGCTGAGCTAAATCCCCAGCCCTGTGAGATAACAGTTTTGAGCAAGGGTCTCCAGTCTACTCCCTTCTAACTGCTAACATGAAGACCCAAACCCCAGCTCTGGAAAGAAAGCAGTGAAGGAAACTTTGTATGCATACAGTTTAACCTGTCTTGTCCCCACTAACCTTTTACTCCTGCCCTGAAGTGACTCAACTTTGACGCAAGCTGGGACTAGGGAAACATTCTGCCTTCTAGCATCAGACTTGACTTCCTCAGTCCTGGCTCTGAATGTGTAGACCTGAGTTGCTGCCAAATAGATTCCTGTCCCCTTACCTCTCTTTTTTAAGTCTACACATTTAAAAGGCTCACCTAGAGACTTTTTAGTCATAAAACATTTGGATTTTTTTGATTTTCCAATAATAAATAAATCAGACATTAGAGCAGAAGCTTCTGAAATCTCAAAAATCTGCCTCCAGTTTATCACAAATCTCTTTATGTATTCAGATGCTTTGGATATACATTAAAGATTTAAACCCATATTTATCATTTGGAACATGGCCTTGGCTCTTGACAAATGCATCAATAATTGGCATGGGAATAGGAGGGGCCTGTGCTGGCCAATGCCCCATCTACTGTCCTCTCCTGGCAATAATTCCTGATGCTTATGGATGCTTATGAGGAATTTAGGGTCATTACACGAATGGACACAGGCCCTTGCTCATCCAAAGATTGTGCTCACATGGCCTGGGAACTCAGGAGTCCTCAGAGAAGTAAAATTATCCTTCACATCATCATCTGAAGACAAGTGGGGCATACAAGTCCCCTTCCCTTAAAGTAGGGAGGGTGAATGCTCCGGGGATACAGGGAGAAATTACTCATGAGTGGTCAGTCAGGTCAGTGACATCCAGAGCCCTTCCTTCCTCTCAATATCTTCTCTTGTGTCTGATCTGAATCCAACATTATGGCCTTTCCTATCCTGGGACTTCAGGGAGTAGGTGAGTCAGGGACATAGAGAAACACAAAGCATCTGAGATTGTGGTGGAAAAGAAAAAGAAGTAGAGACATGAAGGACAAACCCCATTATGCATTTGACCCTCTGATTAGAAATATGGCATTATCAAAGGATCATTGGCAAAGCAGAGTAGGCAGATCAAGGAGATCAGGTTACTAAGCACACAACAAACCATGTGAAGACCAACAGAAGGGCCGAGGCTATTTAGTGTGAAAGAAAGGTAATGGGGCAGCAGGAGTTCTCAGCATCTGAAGGGTGAGCATGGGAAAGACTTGCTCCTCATGATCAGAGAAAGTGAAAGCTACAAAGGAAAACATTCCCTCAATATTTTGAGAGTCCCAACAATGCAGGGAAAGAGAAATGGAATGCCATTCATTAAGCACCCACTGTATTCCAGGGCGTGTACAAGGCACTATTTATAATTTTGACTATAAAGTCTTCATTCTAGTCCTGAAATTCACATGATGAGATAACTGAAATTCAGAAAAGTTATGAAACCTATCAGATCCCAGAGCTAGAGAAGAGCTTGCACTTACTTCTCCCATCTCTCTGCTCTGACCCAGAGATACTTAGTGCTGAAGCAGAATCCTCCTGATCTTATTTTGGGCAACTGGAGAGGGATTCCTGTATGGATGAGACTCGTCCTACCTGTTCTCCAAGTTTTCCTCCCATTCCGAGGCATTCTATGCACACGCTTGGTGGCCTAAGCAAGTGTGGCTGGAATGCCAAAGGCTAGAGAGAAGACAGAAGAAGAACACTCTGTGCTAAGTCATCTGTTCAGCAGAGAGAAGTGAATGGCAAATGGTCCTCCCCTGGGACTGATTCCCTCCAAATGTGCTTGCCAATAAAATGCTTCACAAAGAAACCTGACAATTTAGTTGTTAATTCAAAACATCCTTCCTCAAGCTGCCTGTAATTACAATCTAATTGTTGCAAGTTGGTGGTTTATTAAAAAATAGTAAAAACACATGAAATACAAATGTGTATTTCTTCTGCAATAACTCATTCTATTCTTATATTCACTTTTCTTTGCATTCTTTTATGTTACCATAAGATTCTTAATCTCAACAATAAAAATTTATTTCTACAAAAAATC